TCCTAAAATTTGTTGTGAAAGTGCAATCGAATATTAAAACTTTCAAAAAGTGTAATAAAGGGAAGGACTTGATTGTTGATTGGATCAATTTGACAAGTTTTAGGACTTGTTTACACTTTTTGAAAGTTTTGGGATTTAATTGCACTTTGGTGACAAGTTTTAATACTTAGTTGTACTTTTTAAAAGTTTTATGACTCAAATGCACTTTCATTAACAGTTTTAACACTTCCAATACACTTATTCCCTTTCCTTTTATCCCGTGACTCTCTCCCTGACTCTCGAGTCTTCTTTAGATTCACTCACATCCAATTCTAAAGCCAATTCTAGGAACCACGAGTGTAGCCAAGAGAAAAATTAACAACTAAAATATGATGTTCAAGTACCATCCACTGGTGTGTGAGCAAAGTTAGTCGAGACCAGTAAACTTTCTTTTTTGCAAAGAGAGATTAACGTGATTTTCAATATGTAGATAAAAGAGCTTAGTCATTGTGCACGTGATAAAAAATGTTAAAAGTATTGAAAGTCCGCAATTTATATCGTTCGCATACCTAATATTTTACTTTTCTCATTTATCAATTCTTAAATATTAATATTCCTTTTCTAATCTTTTTGTGCAATATTGATTGAGAAATTAGGAGATATGGGAAATTGAACATCTTTGAAACTAGAGTTTAATATTTAAAGGTGGTTAGGGTTTGATATTTACTGATCTATCTCAATAGTTTGAAGCTAATGCTCCACAATCGGAAACTAAGGGCCAATTTGGCAAGTTGCCAAATAGTGAAAATTTCTGTTCTTTTGTTCCCAGAATCAGTTTGGGAACAGAAATCCGTTTGTTAAAATTTTTGTGCCCGAGCACAAATTTGCAAAAAATTGTTCCCAGAATCAATTTTGGAACAGAATCAAGAAACAAAAAAAAGTAGCTTCTTGATTCTCGCCGGCTCCGGTGAAAGCGACCCTTGCCCAGGCCGCGAGGATCCAACCCTCGCTGGATTCGGCGGGGGTAGCCCTTGCCCAGGCCGCGAGGGTCCAGCCCATGCTGGCCCTGGCCTGTGGCTGGCCATGGCCGAGAAGGAGGAGAAGAAAAAAAGAAAAGAAAAAAGAAAGAAATAAATATTAAAATATTTAAAATATTATTAATAAAAAAAAATTTTGTGGCGTTACCAAACAAATTTTTGTTCTTTTTCTATTCTAGGAATGGAAATTTTGAACCGTTACCAAATGCCTTCAAATGCTCAGAATCAGTTCCCGGGCACAAAATAAAAAAGAATCATTTCTGAGCATAATCAATTCCCGGGCACAGAATCGTTGCCATGCGCACCCTAATACTCCAGTTGCTCACCCCATGTAAAAAAACTTTGTGTCTGGTAACACCGTTACTATATGTCTATAACGATGTTGTTATGCTTGCCACGCTCTCGCTGTTTTTAGTGCGGACGCAAAGTCACGATGAGGACGAAAGCTCTCTTGTGCACATATCTATGTTTTCTTCTTGAGAATCCAAGAAAACATATTTTGCGTTTAGAATTAACTTTTAATATAAGTTCAAACATATGTTTATTCTAAATACGGCATAAGTTTGATTTTAGGGTGGGAATCGGACCGACTGGACTGGACCGACTTCGTATAAATATTTTTAGTTTCTTAGAAAACCCTAATCCGCTCCTTTCCCTTCCCTCCCGCTTGCCTGCCTTAGCCTTTCCCTTCCCTCTTGCCTCTGTCCAAATCTTATCTAAAGTTTGCTTGCTCGGGGACTCTTGCCTGTTTTTTTTTTTTTGTAATCGAGGTGTCCAGGCCAGCTTGCGCGCACCTCAACTATTCCTCAGGGGAGACTAGCACAGCAACCCACCGCCATGGCCCCTCACTTAAATCACAAGTGCTCAGCTGGGGACTTGCCTGTTTATTGCTCATTTTTTGTAAATTTAAGCACTGAGATTGCTTGATCTGGATAGAATTTTGTTCTCCCTGCCCGAGTTGATGACCATCTTGCACTTGTTTCTACTTTAGCCGTGGGTGATTGCCTGAATTTTTTGATGACCATTTTGTTGGGGATCAGCAAGATATTCATGTTGTTGCAGTTCCATTTGAGCCAAAATCTTGATGTTCTGCATTTTTTTGCTCCTGGTGAGTTTAAGAATTTGCATTTGCAGCTTAGTTAGTTAGTTGCCATCCCTGATATGATTGGATATTGTTTTGTGAGGTCGTGTCAGTTTTATTCTTTGCATCGTGACCTTTTCTTCATTGAAAGTTGCATCTCCTTTTTGCAATTCCTACTTTTTTAGTTTCATCCTTTTTGGCTCAATTTCTGCATTAACCGGTTCCATTAGACCGGACCGGATAGACAGTCTAGTCTGGTTCCGGTCCGAGGATCAACCGGTCCGGTCTCCACTTCCCAATTTTGGCAATCGGACTAGACCGGGAACCAATCACCCCTTAAGCAAACTCGAGACCACAACGGGAGATGCAGCTGGCAACAATGCTTTGTATAACATTCGACATCACTTGGAGCATTTTTGCCTTTTCAATTGAGATTAGTAAACGATATCAAAGAGGTGGTAATGTGGAAATCAATGATAAATGATAAAGAAATTAGAGGCTTACGTGGTTCGATTAGAGTGTAGGTGCCTATTTCATGGAAAAAGCCAACAGCCAAGAAATCTACTATGAATCCGGAGAATACAAAGCTTATAATCTGCCCAAAAATCCACAAGTATTATTTTACAATCTCTCACAAAGAACATTCTCACAAAACTTATAAGAGAGAAAACTCAACCCTCATCTTTGTTGGTTTATTATGTAATAACCAAGTAGAATTCCATTCCATTATATATATCCAAAATAGAAAACTTTTTTTAGGAAATCTACTCAAATTAAGAAACCAATCAAGCTAGGATCAGATTTTTTTTACGATCTCAAATTCGAGACATATTCTAAATACAAACTTTGGTTTCTATCTTTCAAATCTTCGCAATAACCCAAAGAATTCTGGTCAAAGTCCAAGAATGTTGGGTCACTGTCTTCAATCAACATTAGCCGACCAATAAATAGAATGGTAGAACTTGCATGCCGTACCGCTTCGGTCACAGCACCGTTTGATATGACATGAAATTGAATATTCAATGCTGATGGAATGTAAAGAGATTCCTACAATTATATCATCGTGCAAAAGATGAGGAGATCTTGGCCCATCCAATTGTATTTAACCCTTCCGCCAAAAGGATGGACACGTACTTTGTTGTCAAAGTCGCGCCCTAAAAATTATTAAGTGATTCAGGCGCATGTCAGTCTAATATATCTGAACTTTTATTATTATTGATAAATTTCATGTGAGACTCCTATAATTTAAAAATCGATATTCATTAGATATCTGTAAACTCGATACATTTAAACATGTGTATTGTCGCCGTGGCTTCACAAAAGCCTTTTCCCCAATGAGTCAATCTTTTGCGGGAAAATGACACAAATGGTCCATGAATTTTAATTCATTGTGTAATGTAGTCCATAAACTTTTAATTTGTTTGATGTGATTCTCGAACTTTAACTTATTGTGCAATGTCGTCCATGAATTAAATTGAACATGTACTAAAAGTTTAGAGATCATGAACAAATTAAAAGTTCAAGGACTACATTGCACATTGAGATAAAGTTCAGGGATTATATCGAACAAATTAAAAGTTCAAGAATCATATTACATATTGAACTAAAATTCATGGATCATTTGTATCATTATCCCATCTTTTGCGCCACCCTCCCTCGCTCTCTCTCACCACGTCATCAAGTGCTGGTCAAAGCAGTAGAAGGACAGCTCCAAGCGATTGGTGCCAGCAACAGCATGTCCAATAATAAATCAACTGCCATCTCTATCTACCAAAGAAAACCAGCGAAGAACAAACTATATCCTATATGCATATGCCACGTCGTGGCCCTAGCATGGACCTTTCCCGACTTTTCAACGGGGACCATCTTGACTTGAACATCTTCTTGTGTCATGAAAGTGCAATGTGGGCTCTGCTCTTGGTGACAACAAGGGAGAGGACTCGGAGATACTCAAGTAGATTGATTTTGCTCAAATGCTAGCTTGAAAAATTCCATATATTTTGTTGTTGTTTAAACTGAGCCCTCAGTTGGTTACTCCAAAAGTTCAAACTATTTTAAAGGGATAAGTGCAATGGAAGTTGTAAAACTTATCAAGAAAGTCTAATTGAGTCCTAAAACTTTCAAAAAGTGCGAACAAGTCTTAAAACTTTTCAAATTGGACTAATTAAGTCGTTCTATTGATTACACTTTTTGAAGATTTTGGGACTCTCGTGACAAGTTTTAGGACTTGATTGCACTTTTTGAAAGTTTTAGAACTCGATTGCACTACTTTGATAAGTTTTACGACTTGATTGTACTATTTGAAATTTTTAGGACTTTTAGTTCACTTATTCTTATTTTAAACTATCAAGCAATATACTGATAGCTAGTATAGAATGGTTGTTGTGAGGAATTGAGCACACGATCTTTGGGTTACAAGACTATATCAAATTGAAGGCCTCAAATCGATATATCCGAAAAATTAAACTAGAGCAATATATGTTAGCAATTTTCGCTAGATCAAATAGGCGAATGGTTTTGTTTGAGAAAGGCAATGTTAGTCCATGCATTTTTTATTCCAGCTCCGCATCTTCAAATTCTTGTTGAATTTTCCCGATGCAAACTCTAGTATTTTAAGTTGGTCGGGCGATTAGATCACACCCGCAATGATCTTCATACGTGGAAAAGATTTGGTATAAATGAGTCAAGCATATTTAACCACGTGCATGGTTGGCATTGCTTTAATTAGTAACCGAGCACATCATGTCGGTCGGTAACTACACATGTATGTGACTTGGGTGTCCGTTGTGGACTAAGGGTCGCACAAATTCTCCTCAAGTTCGGTCTATATATACATCTCTACCCACCACACACAACACACACACACACACACACACACACACACACACACACACACACACACACCCTTCACTCTCGCTCGTTGTGAGCTAATTTTTGAGCTCCAACACCACAAAATGGAGTCCTCAGATACAGGTGCCTCTGCATCTTCTCCTCCTCCATCTCCAGTTCCTCCGTCTTGGCCGTCTCCGACTCCTGCTCTTCCACTTCTGGTGGTCGTGGCCAGCCCTTGCGCGGCGTGCAAGACATTAAGGAGGAGATGCTCGGAGAGCTGCGTGCTGGCCCCGTACTTCCCCCCCTCGGACCCTGCCAAGTTCGCCATCGCCCACCGCGTGTTCGGCGCTAGCAACATTGTCAAGTTCTTGCTGGTACGATATCAATTAGTACCCTATTACAGCACCGCTTTTTAAGGGACCGGAAAGAAAGCATAAATAGGATTTGAGAATTTTAGTTGCCCAGTAAAACTTGAAGACTCCCCTTCATTAGAAAATCCAATTAAAGTGAGCTTTTAAATGGGATTTGTTGGACTCGAAGTCAATATGGTCATCGTTCTGAAAGAATTTGATGGGTGCCTTCGTGTTTGAAAATGAGATTCTCTTCCTTTTAATTAAAGTTGGTCATGTGCAGATGGAGGAGAGTTTTGATCGAGTGTGAGTGCCGTAAGCCATCGGGCAAAGCACAGAATAGGACAAGACTGGGTTTTTGTTGTTGTTCCTCTAGTGATAATTGTTGTTTGGTCGAGGAAATTGTTGTTCTATTGCTAGTGTGCATCTAAAGAGTGATGGCATAACTATTTTTTTGGGCAAATTTACTGGACTTTAGTAGATTTTACAATCAGGTCACTACGTCATGATCTGAATCGATGAATGCATTGAGCTTTCATTTTTTAACCATTAATGCACTTTTACTTGAAACGGGGCAATAACATGAAAGAGCTCATGTAGGGCCATAATAATAGGAAAAAAAAAGTATAGGCTCGATGGTCAGGCCTAAAACCATTGCCCAAACGATTAGTAACTTATTTGAAGTTTTACATAAAGATTGATTGGGGGCACTTCGAAGAGAAGAATTGCTTGCCCATGTTAATCCTCATCAAAATAAAGTTGGCCAGATCTGGCCTTAGCTCACTCATCTGGCCTATTTGCATTCTCCAAGAACATCTAATTGATTGATGAGGCAATTGTGTGTGTGTATATATATATATATATTCTTTCACTAAATGATTTAGATCTTCCAAAATCTTTCTTTATTGTACATATGGCTAAATGTACATGCATCGAATGTGCCATTTTGCTAGTTGCTATCTATATAAGAAACAATTAATTGATGGAGGCATGACATTTCGGAATTTTTCAGACACTTCCCGAATCTCAAAGAGATGACGCAGTGAGCAGCATGATTTATGAGGCCAGTGCGAGGATTCGAGACCCTGTCTACGGTTGTGCCGGGGCCATTAGCCAACTCCAAACGCAAATTACCCAACTCCAAGCACAGCTAGCCAAGTCACAAGCCGAGCTCATCAGCATGCAAATCCAACGGGCGAATCTCATGGAACAATTGCACATGACCAAATCTCAGGAGTCGTGTCCACAGCAGTTCATCGAGAGTCTCCTGAATAGTCCACACGACTACCAAATCAACTCGTGCTTGGATGATTATAATGGCTTTGGCTCATTTTGGGAGCCTCTCTGGACATGACTGATGGGTCGACCTTATCGACCACATCTATACATATAGTTTGGTGAAATTTTCCTAACTTGGGGGACATTATGAAGAAAAACTAAGTAGCAATGATTTTGTTGTTTAGATCCTAATACTCTCTCTAATGTTTGTGGTGTGGATTTATTATGAAGACCCTAAAGCGAGATGGCTCTTTATTTTTACGAGGAAGCGCACTCGCATAACCCTAGCCCATGAAGTTCTTCACTAATTTTATGAAGCAAGGAATGAGTCAAAATAAACTAGACATCTCAACTAAAAGGACTATTTACATTTAGTAATAGGCGAAATAAATATGCCATCATGGATTTTATCGTAGCACTCCCAAGAACTCGAAGGGGCAAAGATGCAATCACGGTGGTTGTTGATCGATTTTCTAAGATGGCATATTTTATTCCGTGTCACAAAACGGACGATGCTTCTCAAATTGCTGATTTATATTTTAAAGAGAATATTCGTCTGCATGGAATCCCTAAGACCATTGTGTCTATCGTGATTCCAAGTTCCTAAGTTACTTTTGGAGGACCTTATGGGGAAAGCTTGGCACTAAACTCTTATTCAACACAACTTGTCATCCACAAAGCACACCATCACTACTCCTCTTCGAAGCATGGTGAGTAAAACTTTGAAGGATTGGGATTTAAAGCTTGCGCATACTGAATTTGCTTATAATTGACCGCCAAGTTACATTACTAGTCAATCACCATTTGAATTCGTGTATGGAATCAATCCTCTTACACCTATCGACATGTTACCCATTCCATCCAACTTGCAAGTCCACTATGACACTGAAGAGAGAGTTAAGGTCAGGAAGAATCTTCATGAACAAATTCGATCCAAGATTGAGAAGGCGAATGAGTCTTACGAATAGAAGGCAAACAAGCATCGAAAAAAGACTCAATTTCAACCGTGATGTGGGAGCATCGGATTCTAAAGAACATTCCTTAGGTTCCGACTTGATTCATCGATAAATGTGACATTTTGAATTTCGACCCATTTTCGGGATTTATGAAATGATTATCTCATTGATGCACTTTCAGTTAAATCTCACTTTGAATTGATCACTCATGAGAAAACTAACCGTTAGGGAATAACTAGTTAGGAATTAAGTATGCACAACCTAAGAACTCGACCTTGGATTGACACTTCGACCATAAGGATTGACGAGGGGATATTTGGGCCATCATAGACCGATCCAAGGATGGTTATAGAATAATTTGCCAATGTTATACAATTGGATCGCGGGTGATTTCGTTTGACCATTGTATGGATTACGAACATTCCTAAACCAATTTCTAACAATCGTGTCCTTCGGAACTTGTGATTGACCCTTGCAATTACATGACAACCAAGGTCACCATGGCTTGAGTAAACTTAAACGTGGCTTGATATCGAATCAATCGCGGGTTGAATATGCGTAACTCCTAAAAGCCGCCCGTTAGTTTGAGATATACTAAAGTCGCAATTGATCGATTTTGGCCATAAATTGGAATCCGAACTTGGGTATCAAACTATCAAGGATATCAAAACTATTATATTGGATGTTGCCTCATTAAGCTCGTTTAGTTATCGGTTTGCTCGAAAATTCTTGGAAAAGTGAAATTCGGTTCGGAAATTGGAAAAGACCCTTTTATCCCTTAGTGTTCTAGGACTTCTTGGTTGAGTGGAAGGGCATGTTGGTCTTTGTATCCTCTTGAGTGGAATTCCTTAGGCATAATCGCCCTTCTTGCTTTTGTTAATTTCTTAATTGCCCTTTCCAGAAACCTTTTCAAGATGCAACCCTAGCCTTTAGATATTGACTTGGGGACCAATGAGTGATCTCAACCCTTCATTTGGATGATGATGTTCAGCCCATTCTCTCTCTTCTCTCTCTCTCTCTCTCTCTTCCATTTTGTGTCTAACTCACTTTCACTTTCACTCTCACTCTTGCCCCCACCACACCGACCAGCCACCACTGTCCACCACCAGCACCATCACGCCACCACCACGCCACCACCACCTGAGCCGCCGTGGACCGCCGTGAGCCACCACTACCGCCGTCGTCCACCACCACTTTTCTCTCTCCCTTGTACGGCCGGCAACCACCTCACCGCCACCCTCACTGACCAGCCACCATCTCAGCCACCATCACTCCACCATCTAGCCCTAATCTCGCCGTGAACCACCACCCCTAGCCGCCGTTCAAGCTGTATCAGCCACCCTTCGCTGTTTCGCTGTTTTGCCGTCCACTGTTCGCCGGAGTAGCTGCTGCACGCCGGGGCTGTTGTTGCTGGTTTAGTTGACACTTTGGCTTAGGATTGTTGGTAAGTAATTTCCTAAACCTTGATTAGGTTGATAGGTAACTAATGGACTAGTTTAGGGGCTGATTAGTGGTTAATTGTGGGCTAATTAGTGGCTAATTGTGGGATGATCTAGGGCTGATTAGTGTATGGTTGTTTAGTGGTTAATCATGTGGCTTAGAAGGCTGATCGTGAGGCATAAGGTTTGATCATTTGGTTGTAGTTTAATCTTGATTGTTTGATGTTAATCATATGGCTAGAAATGGTTGATCATGATTGATTATATGTGATCATTAATCATATGGCTAGAAATGGTTGATCAAGGTTGATTAGTTCAATCAATGGTTGATCATGTCCTAATTGTTTGATCATGTGGTTCAAATGCTAATAATGTGGCTGATTATGTGACTAATGTTGATCGTGTGGTTGTGATCGATGATCATGTGGCTAATTAGTTTAATCATATCTGATGGGGGAAGAACAGCATTGGTGCCAAAACTTGTGTACGGAGGCCACTTTGGTGCCAAAACTTTCATTTGGATCACTTAAGTGCCAAAAGTTTACGCCGGCGATCACTTAAGTGCCAAATCGGAGAAAAAACGATCACTTAAGTGCCAACGGCGAGAAATTCCGATCAAATTTAATACGTGGCTTTTATATTTAAATTTTAATGACACGTGGCATTTCCATGTGTATAATTCAATTTTTTAAATATTTTTTTTTCTGATTTTCTTCTTTCTTTTCTTTTTTTTTTCTTTTCTTTCTTATTTCCGATGGCCGGCGTTTGGCCACCGGCCACCGGCCATGGCCGGCCTCGCCGGGCAACGCCTTCCTCCGGGCGAGGCCCGGCGAGGCCGCCGTGGCCTCGGCGAGGCCGGCCTCGCCGGATCTGGCGAGGCGAGCCTCGCCGGGGCTCGCCCTGCCGTGCGAGCGTCGAGGTTGCCCGGGTGGGCGAGCCCCGGCGAGGCAGCCGTGGCCTAGGCGAGGGCCGGCCTCGCCGGATCCGGCGAGGCGAGCCCTCGCCGAGGCTCGCCCGCCCGAGCGACCTCGACCTCGCCTCGGGCAGGGGCGAGCTCGGCCCGGCGAGGCCGGCCTCGCCGAGGCCACGGCGGCCTCACCTGCCATGGCCGGTGGCCGTGGCCGGACGCCGGCCATAGGAAATAAGAAGAAAGAAAAGAAAAAAAAAGAAAAGAAAGGAAAAAAGAAAGAAAAGGAAAAAAAAAAGAAAAGAAATGCCACATCAGCTTGAGAAATTAATAAAAAAATGCCACGTCGGATTTCCGGCGAAGTGGCACTTAAGTGATCGTTTTTCACAACTTTTAGCACTCAAGTGATCCGATTGAAAGTTTTGGCACCAAAGTGGCCTCCGTACACAAGTTTTGGCACCAATGCTGTTCTTCTCCCCATATCTGATTATGTGATTAATGTTTGATTGTGTGGTTGTGATGACAATCATGTGGCTAAAGTTGATGGATCATGGCTGATCAAGTTGATCTTAGAGTTTAAACATTGATCTTGTGGCTTGATAATGGATCGTGTGGTTAATCATGGCTAATCTTGGTGAATTATGGCAATTTGTGACTAGATAATGATGTTTGATACGGTTAAGAGTGCTATTCATGACATGTTCGTTCGTAGGAAAAATGCATGTCATATACGCTCTGCATTGACTAATTAATAAAGATGAAAATTGGCAATAATTGATTGTTTGTGTGCATGGCCATGAAAAGTTCCGTCTAGGCGGAAGTTCTAGACGATGCCCGGCGGGTGTTCGGATGCCGGCTAAGCGGGGGTTCTAGACGTTACCAATTGTGGTGGAGGCCGGATCGATGCTCCTTATTGGAATGCCATTTGGTACCCGGCATACCGGGGGGTGTTCAATCCCAAACGTTGTCGCGCCCGAAGTAGCGGGGCGATGCTCGGCTAGATTGGAAGACCGGCGGGGGTTCGGTGTAGCCTGAGGGGTCGTTAATAATCTGGACAACCACGAGTGAGGCGTCAGCACCCCCATTTGTTTGAGTAGTTTGGGTTGGTTGTAAATTTCGAGGACGGAACTTTTGTAAGGGGGGAAGAGTTGTGACATTCTGAATTTCGACCCATTTTCGGGATTTATGAAATGATTATCTCATCGATGCACTTTCAATTAAATCTCACTCTGAATTGATCATTCATGAGAAGACCAACCGTTAGGCAATGGCTAGTTAGGAATTAAGTACGCACGACCTAAGAACTCGACTCTGGATTGATACTTCGACTATAACGATTGACGAGGGGATATTTTAGGCCATTATAGACCGATCCAAGGATAGTTATGGAATGATTTGCCAATGTTATATAATTGGATCGCGGGTGATTCCGTTTGACCATTGTATGAATTACGAACGTTCCTAAACCGATTTCTAACGATCGTGTCCTTTGGAATTAGTGATTGACCCTCGCAATTATATGACAATCGAGGTCACCATGGCTTGAGTAAACTTAAACGTGGCTTGATTTTGAATCAACCACGGGTTGAATAACCGTAATTCCTAAAAGCCGCCCGTTCATTTGAGATACACTAAAAGTTGCAATTGATCGATTTTGGCCATGAATTGAAATCCGAACTTGGGTATTGAACTTTCCAGGATATCAAAACTATTATATTGGACGTTGCCTCATTAAGCTCGCGTAGTTATCGATTTGCTCAAAAATTCTTGGAAAAGTGAAATTCGATTCGGAAATTGGAAAAGTTGCCTGATCTCATCGTTTCTGAGCATCCAAACTGTCGAATTTACTCGGAATCATCTTCATTTACATACGGTTAGTGCTTTGGAAATGTTAGACCCAATGTTGAGATCCATAACATCATTCAAAGGAGAGACCTTTACATTCCGGGGAAGTTCGGT